TTTTTTTTTTTGTGTCTTTTCTAAGTATCTTCTCTCATCATTTATTCCTTTAGTTTCCTTTTCGGCTTTTACATTTACTTTATTATATCCCACTGCCGTCTTCTCTCCTCCATTTTTCATGTCTTCTCCCTCTTACGGCAGCGGAGCAGCCATTCATTTTCACACCCATAAAAATTCAGACTTGTCTTCCATTACCGCGTGTTGGGAACAGAGCGCTTCCTATGTTCCACGGACCCCTTATACATATATAAATAAATATACATCAATTTTGATTCTTATAAAAAAAATTAAAAACTTAAATTCTTAAATATAATTCTTTAATAAATATTTTTAAAAATTAACCATGAGATTTAATATAAATTATTTATGTTAATTTTTAAGTTTATTCGATGTCTATAATTATTTGATCAATAGACATATTTTTTAATATATATTTAATAATAATAAATTTATAAAATAAATAAATTGGTTATATACTTTTTATTTTCATTTTTAATAATCATAATTTGATTTTTTGACTTTTTAAATATAAATTTTAAATAAAAGTTTAATAACTTATGTGAACAATAAATAAAAAAGTTGTTGGCTTATTGGATTAATGTCATCTTAGCAATGAAAACAAAAGAGTGCAGAAACTTCCATATATATATATATAAACATGTATAAGGTTTCTTTTTTTTTTTTGGGTACGACATGGATAGGGTTATTGGCTTGTTGGATTAATGTCATCTTAGCAATGAAAACAAAGAAGTCTAAAAAACCCATGTGGGCCATGTCATCGATCAGCTTTTAATTTCTTTACGTTAGTCTTATTTAAATTAAATAATTTAAATTAGTAGTATGTGAATTTTATGATTTTTTATTTTTATTTTATTTTTTATAATTTTCATTGTTTGTGAAGATAGGACTGCAATGCATAAAAAAACAGAGGCTCACTCGCTTTCTTCTGTTTCGCTCCTTCAGTCCCCACGTGAAGCTCTCCAGTTCCTTTCTCCCCGTCTCATGCGACCTAGCCCAATTCAAGACATCCCTCTAAAATCACCCAGATGAAGAGTAAGAAGAGAAACTCATTAAGGAAAAAACGAAAACCGAAGGAAAGACTACAACTGCAGACAAATCAGACGCCCATTGTTTTAAAATCTGGACCGAACCAGTCGGTTCAACCGACTGCTGGAAGAATTTACAGCCAGGCACTCTTTAATAAATACGTTTGAAATAAATTGAAAATATTTTCATATGGGCAGCAACAGAACAAGAATATTTTCTTTGTTAATTTTAACATATGCACTATGAAGAATTACGAAGACTATACACACCCTTGAGATTGTGAGTTTCAACTGGTAAAATGTTGCGGAGCTTCAAGCTCCACTGCATTGTTTGTTACCAGTCTTTCTTCTGGTATGCAATGCGTTTAGTCGCATTAAATTATGATTCAGTTGGTGCATGTTGCAATAGAAATTCAGCTTGAGCCAAACTCCTGATTCCATTGTTCAAGCTCTTCATACTTGCTTTTGTTTAAGCTGGGTCGAATTATGGTCATTGCCGTTTGAAAATCTTCGAATCTTACAGGTCGGACCTGGTATAATGAACATCAAAAAATTACAACTGAAAAGGAATTGCCACCTTAACAAGTTAAGCTTGCTGGTTGTGTAAAGAACTTGATTTTAACCAAGTCACAAAATGTGAAACAACTACTTTCTTGCTGGATTACCTGATTTGCCTTGACATTGAGAATACCATCTCCAAGCTCTCTAATTGGCATCATAGCTGCTTCTTCACACAAGGCTTGTAGATCACTCCCAGAATATCCTATTCATCAAGAGCAGTTAAAAGGTTAGGTTTAGTTTTAAAGGAACACATGTTTTTCCTTCCCATTGGTGGGGTTCTTTAGTGAGCTCCCTATACAGCTAGTTCTCTTGGTTTCATTTCTGCAAAGCAGCGATGATCACATGCACAGAGCTAGATATGATATCAAGCATCTTTGTCTTGGCCATGGTCATTTTGCTAATTAAAATGATGCATTCAGATAAACAATTTTCATCCAAGATTAAGTGTATTCCAAAGTATAACATCGAGAGTTATCTAACCTTCAGTCTCTTTGGCAAGCTTGTCTAGGTCCCTACCTGTCACAAACAATGAAAGTTGGTTGTCATGCAAGTGCCAGTATGGCACATTTAAAGGGACAGCTTAAAACTTTATTCTTTATATTAAGAGGAAATCATAACCTCACAAAGTATTATAAGGACAACCAAAAGGAGAAAGGCATGTATTCCTGACAAATTACAGAATGAGAGAATCTCTTACTGGGTAAGGAGAATGCTGGGCCCTTGAGTTTGTGTTTTAGAAGAAGCCTCCTAACATTCTCATCTGGAAGAGGTACATAAATTCTCTTCACCTGGTTCAGGATTTCAAAATGAGTCCCATATGTCAACAAAAAATCTGATATAATACTGTTTTTTCCCTAGTCTAATATTTTTTAGTATAATTGTTCAAGCTGTTGTCCAAATAAATCACAATGAAGCTAATTCATGCAACGGCATACTAACCAATCGTCTAAGAACAGCATCATCCAATTCCTGGGGCTTATTAGTGGCACCTGTATTGGCATGTTCACAAGCAATCCCATCAGAATTGAATCTTATGTTATGATCCAAGCATCTCAGGTTTACATGAATAGAAGTATGAGATTTAGGATAAGTTTGGAGAATAAATTTTGACAGGGTATACAAAACCACTATGTGTTTGTCCTTGGAGCATTAATGAATCAAATGAACAAGTAATAGATGACTTCGGCCCCGAATTCCTTCTTCCATGGATTTTTTTTTTTTTTTCAGCCATCAAAAGGTAGTTCTTCCATGGAGTTTGAAAGGGGCTTGTTAAGCAAAAGAAGACAATCAAGCACTTTGCTATCGGTGCAATGACCAAGAAGCCCCAACCGCCTACTAATACTAAGACATCAATGAATTCAAGAAGCAGCAGCACATCTGCAAATCCTAGGTTCTTCCACAGCATTTGTATAACTAAATTTTCATTATATAAGAGAATAAATAAATATATAGACAAAAATCTTACCGATGACAATCACTAGATCATCAGGATTAGAGGTCACCCCATCAAACTGTATCAGAAATTCTGACTTCAACCGTCTGCTAGCATCGTTCTCATTGGCCAGCCTTGTTGACATGATACTATCAATCTGTTAATAGCCACAGGAAATTGTATAAATATGTATTAATCTTTTAATAATCACAGGAAATTGTATAAGTACAAATAATGTTTAAGAAACAAGACAAGTGTAATAAGACACACACACACACACACACACACACAAAATCAACTAATCACAATAACTCCCCACCCCCGCAAGACATATAATATACTTTATTTTTTGCCTGAGAAAGGAGATACAGGAAAAAAGGCTTTTTTCTTTTTCATGTTTAAAGGTCATAGAGAATACTACAGTTCCAAAAGCAAACAAAAGAAGCATTGAAGCAAGCAACATTGTTGGATGTAGAGGGCAACAAATCTAATCTAGGATGATGAAATGCTGACAAGCAGTGGAGTTAGGGAAAAGGAATAGCGTACTTCATCCATGAAAATTACAGATGGCTGTCTGGATATAGCAACCATAAAGAGAGTCCGCACAAGCTTTTCACCCTCTCCCACCTAATTCATTATGAATAAAACTGATCAATAGTTCATCCTCAAGACAGGGAAGAAATCAAAGGTATCACCATATAAATAAAAAAGAAACTTTCAAGGGCGGGAGACAAACCCATTTTGATGTCAGGGAAGATGCAGAAACATTGAAAAAAGTTGCCTCTGACTCTGATGCAACTGCTTTGGCAAGCATGGTCTTTCCATTACCAGGTGGCCCAAAGAGAAGCAGACCTACAAAACAAAGTACAGAAATTTTGTTCATAAATCAAATTGCTGCCCTGTTATCTTCCTGGATGCAAAAGACTTTGGCTTACCCCTAGGTGGCCTCCTAAGACCAGTAAACAAATCTCTTCTTTTAGTTGGCAGAATAACCATTTCCATTAAAGTTTGCTTTGCCTTCTCAAGGCCAGCTGCAAATGGCTGAGGTAAGTCTATAGATTTAATGCAGGGGGAGAAAAAGAGCAACAGATAGAACAGAAAATCTCACCAACATCATCCCATTTAACAGAAGGGCTTCTATCCACTATTGCTGTATTTATCATTTCAACCAATTTTGATTCATATCCATCGGCATATTCTTGTCTAGGTTTTGAGCTTAAAACTTTATCTGTCTGATTCTTTGTGACTGCAACATGAGCAGGCTCCTGTGACACATCACTCCTTGAATATGATGTTGTTGGTCGTGAAACTGCAGCAGTCGGTGCATGTGTTAAGGTGTTCTGCAAGTATTATATATATTTATAATAACAAGAAGATAAGCAAACAATCATTATTAATGAGTAACAGCAGCATAAACTTTTAATTGGGAAGAAAGAATATATAAAAAAAAAAGGAGCTAGCAGAAGATTAAACAACACTAGCAATGCCAAAAGAAGTAACGAAGTTCCATAGTTATAACCACTTGATGTAGAAGTTCAATTTAGCATGGTTAACATGTAAATCACAAAATGTCACATGCATAAATGAAAACATCTTCATCAATCAAGCAAAGATCAAATCTGAAAATTTAAGAAACTTACATTATAATTCTCAGATGAGCACTTTCATTCAACAAAGTAATCAACTAATGAATTCTTATCTTTATTGCACCACATATAATGATATTAATCATTGATACAATAAAACACAGTGCAAACAATTTAGCATCATAGAAAATTTCAATTTATGGTTAATGCAAACATCCTTCCAATCAATCATTTCTGGTGATAATCTGGTATTAAAACATAGTTCCATACCACACCTCAGCCAGAGAAGAGAATACCTTGTCCATGGATATGCTGGCGCCACCTGAATGAGAAAACGAAAAAAACAGAGAAAATCAGTAAAATGAAGAAATCTTCCGAGCATAAGAGGAACAAGTATGCTATATTTGGTACTAACCTGCTCGCTGGCTTAAAACTAGTAATCTCTCAGAAACTTGGCCCTGCCATTTTGATATCTTCTGCCTATACGATTTCACCTTCGCCTGTTCACTGTCGCCAAAACTCAATCATCAAAATCATACACTTAATCAAATTAAATTCAACAGAATCAACAAACGAAGCTAATATTCAATACCTAGAGCTGATATATGAAGGTGCACTAGT